TTTATTGTTATGTTAATCCCCATACATTACATCATTAGTTTTAGATGAAGTGTTCCGTGATTCATTGTTTGTGCACAACACCCAGTGCTCCATGCAACACGTGCCCTCCTCAATACCCACCACCAGGCTAACCCATCCTCCCACTCCCCTCCCCTCTAGAACCCTGTTTGTTTTTCAGAGTCCATCGTCTCTCATGGTTCGTCTCCCCCTCCGGCTTCCCCCCCCTTCATTCTTCCCCTCCTGCTATCTTTTTTTTTTTTTCTTAACGTATATTGCATTATTTGTTTCAGAGGTACAGATCTGAGATTCAACAGTCTTGCACAATTCACAGCGCTTACCAGAGCACATACCCTCCCCAGTGTCTATCACCCAGTCACCCCATCCCTCCCACCCCTCCCCCCACTCCAGCAACCCTCAGTTTGTTTCCTGAGATTAAGAATTCATCATATCAGTGAGGTCATATGATACATGTCTTTCTCTGTTTGACTTATTTTGCTCAGCATAATACCCTCCAGTTCCATCCACGTCGTTGCAAATGGCAAGATCTCATTCCTTTTGATGGCTGCATAATTAGGAATGCCACTTTTATAAGCTGGGTAACTTTGGGTTTATTTTTTAATTTCTCCGAGCCTTTGTTTTCTCATCTGGAAGATGTGAATAATAATGCCTACTACAGGGTTATTATATGGATTAAATGAGATAGTGCATAAATTTGACACCTTGTAGGTACACATCATCTTCTCTATGTTCAGCTTGCAAAGTCTGTTACTCACTGCCACACATTTGTACTATCATTATCTATTTGTGTGTGTATTGCTGTAATTTCAGAGGAGTGATTCAAGGGTAGAGAGTGGTATTGTTTTAATCCTACCATAGACATGACCATAGCAATCACTTTGGTATGATTTGTAAAGGTGTGTGGGGTGGGGAGATTGTTTTACTCTGAAAACTCCATATGTGCTGGCATATAAAATTGTGTGAGTAAAGACCTGGAATAGAGATTGAACTTGTGTTCTGTATAGATTATTAGGATTTGTTCTTGTGATGATCATATTAATTTACTGTATTTCACACAAAGAAGCCCCAGTCAGGGTTCCAGAAATGCTTATAAATAGGTCTCCTGTGGCATTTAATTACCATAACGTGTAAGCTTTATTCAGTAAGATCAGATACTTAAATATACAGTCACTTTATCACTTTCATATAAAGCTTAGTTTTCCTCTTCGTGTTAAAGGTATGTTAAAGAGAAAAAAAATAGAATGTTTAACATGTTGCTACTACTTGGCATAGAGATTTATGAATTATTATATGACAGGTGATTCTGGTTGGTATCTATCTTATGGTGCTTAGACTTTCTACTTTTTGTAATAATTGTATATGTATACAAGTTTTCTTCTATTAGATTATAAACTCCTTGAAGGCAAGATTCATGTTTAATTTTTTTCATCTTTTATAAAACTTAGCTCATTGACTTTTATAGACTATGCACTAAGTAAGTATTGCTTGGTTGAATAAATCTTCATATGTGTTAGATTACTGACTTTTTTTTTTAAAGATTTTATTTATTTGACAGAGACACAGTGAGAGAGGGAACACAAGCAGGGGGACTGATAGAGGGAGAAGCAGGCTTCCCACGGAGCAGGGAGCCCGATGCAGGGCTTGATCCCAGGGCCCTGGAATCATGACCTGAGCCGAAGGCAGACGCTTAATGACTGAGCCACCCAGGTGCCCCAGATTACTGACTTGTAATGGTGTCAACTCTCTCTCCACAAAGTTTGATGAGATTCCTGGTGATAAGGAAAGGAAAGTGAGCAATAATATCCCCTTTATCTTCCTGGGTCCATAATCTCCAGTAATTTTAAAGCTTTATGTAATGAAAAGCAACACTGTGACTCAAAATAGTAGATATTCATAACCTGGCATATAACAAAAAGACAACTTTTTGGGTCAAAAAGAAATAGCAGTTATTGAGCCTTAGCTTTTTTTTTTTATTTAAAGATTTTATTTATTTATTTGAGAGAGAGAATGAGAGACAGAGAGCACGAGAGGGGAGAGGGTCAGAGGGAGAAGCAGACTCCCCGCTGAGCAGGGAGCCCGATGTGGGACTCGATCCCGGGACTCCAGGATCATGACCTGAGCCGAAGGCAGTCGCTCAACCAACTGAGCCACCCAGGCGCCCGAGCCTTAGCTTTGTGCTAGGATTGGATCTTAACTTTTTAGATGGTCACAGGCCCTTTGAGAATCCAGAAAACCTAAATAGAACAAGAAAGAAATTTTAATTATAAAAGAATTTATCTCCAAAAAGTTTCTCCTTTTCAGATAATGTTAATAAAAATTTTTTCATATTTTATTTTATTTTATTTTTTTTTTATTAAAGATTTTATTTATTTATTTGAGACAGAGAATGAGAGAGAGAGAGCACATGAGAGGGGGGAGGGTCAGAGGGAGAAGCAGGCTCCCTGCCGAGCAGGGAGCCCGATGCGGGACTCGATCCAGGGACTCCAGGATCATGACCTGAGCCGAAAGCAGTCGCTTAACTAACTGAGCCACCCAGGCGCCCTTCATATTTTAATATTTACTATGTGAATTATCTAAGAACTTTAAGAAGAGGGAAAGCTATCCTCTTATGAAGCTAGCGTAATTATGATACCAAAAAATTTCATGAAAATGATAGCAACAAAGCTAACTTTAAATTTCTGTCACATAAATAAATCTGAGAATCCTTTTTTTTTTTTTAAGATTTTTTTTATTAGAGAGAGAAAGAGCGCATGTAAGCAGGTGCACACGAGCAAGGATGAGCAGGGGGAGGGGCACAGGGAGAGGGAGAAGCAGACTCCCTGCTGAGCAAGGAGCCCAACGTGGGGCTCAGTCCCAGGACCCCGAGATCATGACCCGAGCTGAAGGCAGTTGCTTAACCAACTGAGCCACCCAGGTGCCCCTAAATCTGAGAATCTTAAATAATTTACCAGCAAGTATAATTTACCAATATTAGTATTATTTCTTTAAAATCTCTTTCTAAAGAAAATTGGAGACAAATGGAGCAGCATATTAAATCAGTAGAGTGGTAAGACCAAGTAAGGGTTACCTTGGCAATGCAAGAACTCTTAAGATCCCGCTAACAGTGGTAGATCTAATAAGACCAAGAAAGGATTACCTTGGGGATGCAAGAACTCTAACATTCCACTACATTAGTAGATCAAGTATAAGATTATCCTAATTGTTACCTAGAAAGTTATTGAGTAAAATGCAGTATCTTTTGAGACTTCTGCTTTTGCCTGAGAGAGACCATTTGTGCCAGACCATCGTTGCTGCCAAGAACTAAAAAACACTAGATAGACCATAAAAAGGCATTTGAAGGCATTAGAAGTTACCAGGGCATTGAGGACTTGGAGGGGCCAAGATCCCCCAAAGAAGGGAGGTCTAAGGAAGCAGGATAAACATTTGATGCCACATGACCCCTCAGAGACATTTGCCAACTCAAAAGCTGTGACTGAAAAGCTGAACAGATAACAGGTCGAGAAGCTAAATAGAGTGTTCAGCAGACTTACGAGACTAAGAGGCATAAAAACTGGAGTTTAGGAATGACAGGAGGAAGGGCCCTGGTGAACATCTCAGGCTTTTGGTTGGGACACTCTCCCCCAAAAGTTTTACCCTAGGAGTAATGATGAACGTAGAATGATCCTGAAATCCAGCTCTCACAAAAACTAAAAGTTAGTTTTTAATTGCCTGAAATAGATTAAAATGATTCACCTATACTTTTTTTTAAAAAAGATTTTATTTATTTATTAGACAGACACACAGCGAGAGAGAGAACACAAGCAGGGGGGTGAGAGGGGGAGAAGCAGGCTTCCCGCCAATCAGGGAGCCCGATGCAGGGCTCGATCCCAGGACCCTGGGACCATGACCTGAGCTGAAGGCAGACATTTAATGACTGAGCCACCCAGGCGCCCCGATTCACCTCTTCTTTTAAGTGCCTGTATAAGCAAAAGTAAATCCTCTCTAGAGGAAGATAATATCATCTAGAACCTCAGGTTATCGCTACATATTTTCACACACAATAACATTCAGTCAAAAACCAAGCATATAAAAAGACTGAAAATCAAGGGGAAAGATAGGCAACAAGAACACCCACAAAATATCCAGATTTTAGAGTTATCAGCCTTGGACTTGAAGATAGCATTGATCAATATTCTTAAAAAATTAAATGACAGGGGCGCCTGGGTGGCTCAGTCATTAAGCGTCTGCCTTCGGCTCAGGTCATGGCCCCAGGGTCCTGGGATCGAGCCCCGCATCGGGCTCCCTGCTCAGCAGGAAGCCTGCTTCTCCCTCTGCCACTCCCACTGCTTGTATTCCCTCTCTTGCTGTGTCTCTCTCTGTCAAATAAATAAATAAAATCTTAAAAAAAAAAAAAATTAAATGACAAATGGAGAGTTTCAATAGAAAACTGGAAACTGAAAAATATGAATAGAAATTCTAGAATTGAAAAATACAGTAACAGAAGGGTTTCATAGCAGATTAATCACAGTTGAAAAGAACATTAGTGAACTGCAAGAAAGATCAGAAGAAAATATCCATGCTGGGCGCCTGGGTGGCTCAGTCGGTTAAGCGTCTGCCTTCAGCTCAGGTCATGATCCCAGGGTCATGGGATCGAGTCCCGCATTGGGCTCCCTGCTCAGTGGGGAGTCTGCTTCTCCCTCTGCCCTCCCCCTGCTTGTGCTCTCTCTCTCTCTCTCAAATAAATAAAAAGCTTAAAAAAAAAAAGAAAGAAAGAAAATATCCATGCTGAAGCTCAGAGACAAAAGGTTGGAAAAGGAAATGAAAAGAAAAAGAAAAACACATTACAGACAAATGGGACACTATTAAAAGTCTAAAAATACTTTTAGGGGCACCTGGGTGGCTCAGTCGTTAAGCGTCTGCCTTCGGCTCAGGTCATGATCCCAGGGTCCTGGGATCGGGCCCCACATTGGGCTCCCTGCTCAGCGGTGAGCCTGCTTCTCCCTCTCCCACTCCCCCTGCTTGTGTTCCCTCTTTCGCTGTGTCTCTCTCTGTCAAATAAATAAATGAAATCTTTAAAAAAAATAAAAATGCTTTTAATTGGAGTCTCAGAAGGAGAGGAGAAAGAGTAGAGGCAATATTTAAAGAGGTAATGGCTGGGAATCTTCCAAAACTGATGAAAGCTGTCAAGCCACAGATTTAAGAGTCACTGTGGACCTGAATGCCTGGGTGGCTCAGTCGGTTAAGTGTCTGCCTTCATCTCAGGTCATGATCTCAGGGTCTGTGGGGAGTCTGCTTCTCTTCTGCCCCTCCCCCTGCTTGTGCTCTCTCTCTTGCTCTCAACCCCCAATAAAAGTAAAATCTTTGGGATGCCTGGGTGGCTCAGTTGGTTAGGCGTCTGCCTTTGGCTCAGGTCATGATCCCAGGGTCCTCGGATCGAGTCCCGCATCAGACTCCTTGCTTAGCAGGGAGCCTTCTCACTCTCCCTCTGCCTGCCGCTCCCCCTACTTGTGCTCTCTCTCTGACAAATAAATAAAATCTTTATTAAAAAAATCTTTAAGAAAAAAAAAAAAAGAGTCACTGTGGACCTAAGCAGAATAAAAATAAAAGGGACACGTGGGTGGCTCAGTCAGTTAAGCATTGGCTCTTTATTTTGGCTCAGGTCATGATCTCAGGGTCATGGGACTGAGCCTCACATTGGGGCTCTGCACTCAGCGAGGAGTCTGGTTGCCCCTCCCTGCACTTTTTCTCTCTCTCTCCCTCTCTCAAATAAATAAGCAAAATCTTAAAAAAAATAAAAATAAAACCAAAAGAAGGGGGTGAGGGAGGAAGAAAGAAAAGAAGGAAAAAAGGAAAGAAAAAGGGAAAATTGCTAAAACCCAAGGAAAGTCTTAAATTAACCAAAGGAAGAAACAGACATCACCTTCAAAGGAGCAACTAACTTGACGTTGCAGAGGAAATAGAAATCTGAAGACAGTGGAACCAAATCTTCAAAATGTTGCAAGAAAATAATTGCCAACCTAGAAATTTATATCAAGCAAAAATGAAGGTAGAAAATAGACATTTTCGGACAGGCAAAAACTTGTGAGAATTCATCACCAACAGATTCACACTAAAGAAACTATAAAGAGAGTTCTCAAGGTAGTTGGAAAATTATCCCAGATAGAAGCATGGAGATGCAGGAAAGAATGAAGAACAGTGGAAAGAGTAAATGGTAATAAATCTGAAGTTATATTAACTATAAAACAGTAAAAATAATAAATGACAACAGTAGCACAAAAAGCAGGAAGAGGCTAATTATAGTTTAAATATCCTAGGGTCCTTGTAAATTTATATTTAAAAAGGACTAGTGGGGGCACCTGGGTGGCACAGTTGATTAAGCATCTGACTCATGGTTTTGGCTCAGGTTGTGATCTCAGGGTCATGAGATTGAGCCCCACATTGGGCTCTGTGCTCAGCGCAGAGTCTGCTTGAGATTCTCTCTCCCTCTTTCTGCCCCTCCTGCTCGTTCATGCTCTTTCCCTCTTTCAAATAAATAAATCTTAAAAAAAAAAAAAAAGACTAATGAGTCCAAGATATAAGATATAATGCCTAAAGCAGCCCTTCTCTACTGTGTTTAGTGAGAGAATCATGTCCTAATGCCCAACAACAGGAATTGACAAACATCTGCCTGTGGCCAGATCCAGCCTCCTGCCTGTTTTAATAAATAATGTTTTATTGGAACACAGCCATTCCCATTAGTTTATGTATTGTCTGTAGCTCCTTTCATGCTATAGCACCTGAGTTGAGTAGCTACAGTGGAGACCGTGTAGCCCACAAAGCTCAGGCTCAAAATATTTACTATCTAGCCCTTGATAGAAAAAGTTTGCTAACTTCTGTGCTAAAGAATCGTTTGTAACTAATGAATTAACTTCTTTGCATTTAGAATGGTACCAGCTGTGTATCATCCTTGGAAAAATTGACAGAAGAGCCACTCAGATTATTTTCTGTAAGACAGTTCTCTCATGAAACTTAAGGTGAGAAAAACTGCTCTAGATTAACCACAAAAGGATAGAAAGAGAATTTATAGCTACCGTGTTAATAGAAAAGGGGAGGGGAAATGGAATAATAAAAAATAATTATTGGTCCAAAAGAAGACAAGAAGTGAGGGGGGAGAAAAGGAGCATAGATAAGTGAAACAAGTACAAAATACGTAGTAAGATGATCAATTTAAGTGATATTAGGCAAAGTAGAGTTCAAGGCCAAACACATTCATAGAAGTGAAGAAGGAAATTTTGTAATGAAAAATGAGTCAATCTATAAGGAAATTTGTATGCACATAATAACATAGCTTCAAAATGCAAAAAGCAAAAATCAACAGAATCAAAAGGAGAAAAGATAAGTTTGTTATTGCTATTTCTTCCATTAGACACAGACTAGGAAGAGTGGGATATTTGTTTAGCATGGTATAAATTCTCAGACCAACTTTCCGTATCATACTTAATGGTAAAACCCTAAAAGCAGTCTCTCACTATTGTTATATCTAATAACCCACTTGCAGAATTTCTGCTTTCCATCCTAGCAACTTTGAGCCTGCTGGGGTTTGGAGTTCTTATTTTCCAAGTGGGGAATGCTTTCACCAGAGGATACAGGATAGTTCCATTTACTTGGTATATGAGGCCGCTACCCTTTTGGGATTCTTTGCCACTGAACCGGGGGACTCACTTCACTGCCTGGAGTGCTTGATCCTGATTACTAAGGGGCAAAAGGGGTTATGCTACACAATGGGGGCAAGGAAGACTATGTTAAATCAGGATTCTCTAGAGCGTCTCTCAGTAAGTATGCACTATATTAAGGAATAATGAAAAACTGCCGTACCCCCAAAAGGCAGATCTGATAAGTCAGATCCTTCAAGAATGAGAATTACAGTTATCCTGTCATGTTGAGAACCCTGATTACCTGAGGTTCTGATTGAAGACAAAGGAAATATGGGATGGGAAATGGAGAAAGAAAGTTATGGATACTATCTATGACCTCATGACCAGGTACAGAAATGAGAATTGTAGTGATTTATCATATTTTTTCTTTGTTACCTCTATATGTTTAACTTTTATTTTTCTCCTTCCTCTTATTTTATATAGAAATTGTTGTGAGTTAATTTGACAGTTTAGTCTTTAGAGAGGAGAATATTTAGCGGGGCTGTACAGAACTTAAGAAGAAATTAATATAGGGGCACCAGGGTGGCTCAGTCAGTTAAGCGTCTGACTCTTGATCTCAGCTCAGGTCTTGATCCCAGGGTTGTGAATTCAAGCCTTGCATGGAGCCTACTTAAAAAAAAAAAAGGTGATTAATATAGTCAGCGACGTATACAGTGGCTGTTAGGACTATGGCTTCTTATTTTGGGGAGAAGGTGAGAGCATCATTATTTATAAGAAGATAGCTGCATGCTGTTAGGTGGAAACAGAGTTCTTTGGTGCTTTATATGAGTTCAGATGTGTGTAGAGGACATATATGGAAGCTAAGTAGCCAAAAGGGTAGACTGCCAATTACTGATTAGTCCCCCATTGTCCAGTCTATGTAAATCCAAACCCATCTTTGCCTGGCCTTGTGATAGTGGAGCTGGCCACTTGTAAACATTTCCCTTTGGCTAGTTGGCTTCATGTTAGTCTTTTTTTTTTTTTTTTTTTTTAAGATTTTATTTATTTATTTGACATAGCAAGAGAGAGCACAAGCAGGAAGAGCAGCAGAGGGTGAAGCAGGCTCCCTGCTGAGCAAGGAGCCTGATGTGGGACTCGATCCCAGGACCCTGGGATCATGACCTGAGCCGAAGGCAGACGCTTAACCGACTGAGCCACCCAGGCATCCTGGCTTCATGTTAGTCTTTATCAACAGAGGGCACTGGAGAGAGAATGTAAGGTGGAAGAGAGGGACAAAGGGACTTCTGGTTCAGGTGTGCTGCCTTTTTTTTTTTTTTTTTTTTTTGTGCGCTAGCAGTCAGCAGACTGGTATCTGGGAGTTCTTATCTCAGTGGTACTTAGGGAGCAGTTTGGTCCACTTGTACCTTTGGGAAGATGATCCGCCATTCAGTAGGGCCCTCCTGTGGACCATCTCTGACCTGAGCCCTCTGTTAGGTTTGCTACTGATCGCCTGTGTGTTCTCTGGTAGCCACACCCTTTCTAGTCCATGTGGAGATAGGTCTGTTCTAAATTCTTAGCCCATTATTCACATACCCTCAGACTAGAGATAGTAGATTTGCTTCTTCGGGATTCCGTAAAGACCTCCTAAAAGTAAGCCAACTTGTACTAGTTAAGAGATCTTTCCATTAAGCCCACCCTGTTCAGATTACTGGTATGGTTCCTCACTCCACCTATCCCTGACTGCTAAGACTCACTAACATTATTATCTAGTCTGATCTAACATTGCCATCTAAGTTTCTGCCAGTTAAATAAGATAGGAGTGTTAGCTTCTTATTGCTCCATAACAAATTACCACAAATCCAGGGGCTGCAAAGACCCGCCAGCGTGAGTTCACAGCTCTGCAGGCCGGAAGCTCTGGCATGACTTGGCTGGGGTCTCCAATCAGGGTCTCACAGGCTAACTGCAAGGTGTCAGCCAAGGCAAGCTCTTCTGTGGAGGCTCTGGAGAAAAAAACCTGCTTCCAGGCTCATTCTTCTTGTGGCAGAATTCGGTCGCTTATAGTTGTAGGACTGAGGTCCTAGCCTCCTTGCTGGCTGTCAGGGGGGTAGCTCTCAGCTCTGAGAGGTCGCTGTGTTCCCCTCCATGTGCCCTTCACTTCAAACCAGCAGCTGTGTGTTCAGTCCTTCTCATACTTCGAACTTCTGACTTCCTCTGTCTCTGACCTTTAAACCTAAAGGGTTCCTATGATTAGCTCAGGCCCACCTGGATATTAAGGTAAACTGATTTGGGACTTTAATTACATCTGCAAACCCCCTTCACAGCAGTGCTTACATTCGTGCTTGATTGAATAACTGGGAGAAGCTATGTGTACAGCAGGAGCCAAAATCTTTTTTTTTTTTTTTTTTTTTTTAAAGAGAGACACAGTGAGAGAGGGAACACAAGCAGGGGGAGTGGGAGAGGGAGAAGCAGGCTTCCCGCTGACCATGGAGCCCGATGATGCGGGACTCAATCCTAGGAGCCTGGGATCATGACCTGAGCTGAAGGCAGACGCTTAACGACTGAGCCACCCAGGCGCCCCCAGGAGCCAAAATCTTGGCAGGGGTAGGTGGGTCTTAGAATTCTGCCTAGCACAGGGTCGCCTGGGTGACTCAGTTGGTTAAGCGACTGCCTTCGGCTCAGGTCATGATCCCGGAGTCCTGGGATCGAGCCCCGCATCGGGCTCCCGGCTCAGCGGGGAGCCTGCTTCTCCCTCTGACCCTCTCCCCTCTCATGCTGTTTCTCTCTTGCTCGCTGTCTAATAAATAAATAAATAAAATCTTTAAAAAAAAAAAAAAGAATTGTGCCTAGCACAGTATGAAATAGAAATAAGAAATAAAAAGGTGAAAAGATGGTTGTTTACAGATTGTATACCCAGGAAACCCAAGATGATCAACTGAAAAGTTATTTGATGCAATAGAGATAGATCAGTAACCTGACTAGACACCTACCATCAGTAACCATGTAGGACATCCATAGAGTGTTTGAGCCTATACATGCTATACAACAATAAGATATCATAAAATACCTAGAAATGACCTTAATATATTATAGGAAGTAGGAAGAAAGTAACAATTTCACTGAAAGAGGAAAGATTTTTTCAAATAAGAAAATTAAATCCTACAGAGCTTTCAGATCAATTGATTGGTAGGTTTAAAGCAATTCCTAAGATTTTATTTATTGATTTATTTTTAAAGATTTTATTTTTTTGACAGAGAGAGCAGGAGAGCACACGCAGGAGGAGAGAGGTAGAGGGAGACCAAGAAGCAGGCTCTCTCCTGAGTAGAAAGCCTGATGAGGGACTCGATCCCAGGACTCTGGGATCATGACCTGAGCCGAAGGCAGTCGCTTAACTAACTCAGCCACCCAGGCGCCCCAGAAATTCTAACTTTTAAAAATTACATATTTTCCTTTTGGAACATGATAAAATGATGGTAAATTTCATCTGGAAGGACAAAAGCATAATTGGTAATTTCTTTTAGTATTTTTTAAGTAATCTCTACTCCCAGCGTGGGGCTCAAACTTACAACCCCGAGATCAAGAGTGACATATTCCACCTACTAAGCCAGACAGGTGCCCTGAGTAACTTTTAAAAGAGTAATGAGGAGGGGCGCCTGGGTGGCTCAGTCAATTAGGCATCTGCCTTCAGTTCAGGTCATGATCCTAGGGTCCTGGGATTGAGCCCCGCATTGGGCTCTCTGCTTGGTGGGGAGCCTACTTTTCCCTCTGCCTGCCGCTATGCCTACTTGTGATCTCTCTCTCTCTCTCTGTCTCTGTCAAAAAAAAAAAAAGTAATGAGGAAGACTAGTGGTAGCAGATGAGCAAAATTTTATGAAACTGGAATAACTAAAATAGTGTGGTCCTGGCAGAAACACCCGGTTATTAATGGAGCAAAATGGTCTTCAGGTCCATCTGTTATATGTGACTTTGATATATGAAGATTCAATGTTACAGATGAGTTGAATAAGGAGGGGTCATTTAGTCCTGGGGCACTAAATGATGCCCAGGCACTCTGTTAGCTACTTGATTCAAAAAGAAAGCAAGGTAAATCCTAATGTCTGCCATACACCTAAATAAAATTTTTTTCCACCCAAATAAAATTTAAATAAAGCATCATCTGTATAAAAAAACTGAGAAATCTAGAAAAGAAAACAGCAAATTTAGGGAATGTGTCTGGATTAAAAGTAAAATCTCATGACAGCTTTTTGTGGGATTTTATGGGAATTTGAAATTTCTGAATGTCAAAAATAATTAAAAGGCAAACCAAAAATGGTAGAAATATTTATAGTAACACAATAAATGGTTAATCACTCAGCATATAAAAACTCTTATAAATTGATAAGGAAAAAGCCTACTAAGAAACC